AGTTCCTTTTCATTTTACAAACCAGATATATCACCAATATCATACAAGGCAAGAAGGATGATGTGCCTTTTGCCCTCTGTACCTTGTGGCATCTGAGGCTGCCACTGTGGCAATAATGAAGTGACTACTCAACAGCAATGGCAGCTCCTGTTGTGTAACATGGACAACAGACACTTGTATAAACACCAAGGTGGGCTGCTGCTTTGCCTAAGGAGGATAGATCCTGTCCCTTCCTTAGGTCAGTCTTTGTCATGATGAAATAAACTACAGCTGTGGCTTTCAAACAATTAAGGCAAAGCAAGCACAGAAGAGTATAAACCTGTATTTTTTTAAATACCAAGATCATTTGGGACAACGTGGAGGAGGGATGACGACACTGACCTTGGACAAAACCTCTTTAAAAATAATGTTCCTTTCAATATAATAGTTCATATTACACCAGAATGCGTATTATACCAGAATCATTATTTTTAATAGCATCTGTAATCAAAAAATGTACAGTAAAGCAAGAAGAGCTGATAATCCGTCCATCCTCTGCATGAGAAGTCTATGTCTGAGCACTAAAGCTCTGGTTAGTTAGCTCCATCTTAGCAGGAGATCTCTAGGGAATATATTCACATCTGATTTCCCTGCTTTCTACTGTCTCTGTATCATGCTGTGCAGCCATTAGCCTGCTGCTCAACAGCTTCAAAAAGAGACACCATCAAACCTGGAAGTCATAGCAGCACCAGCCTTAGGGGTAAACAGAAAACTTGATGCCATGGTATCACACTGCAGGATATTCTCTCCAATGTGGAGCCAAATTTTAATTTTCATATCCAGCTTAATCAAACTTCATACACATATCACATCAGCAGAGCATTCAGGCATTCTAAATCCTCTGTTTAGGGCTGGCTGAACACAACAACAATGGCCAAGTCCTATATATCTTTTTGGCTGGTTTTTTTCTTTTAATTCTATAAAATTCTAGCCATTGTAATATGTTGTAGGAACTGCATGTGAGGAGAGAACAGGTTACATCATTACAAATGCAGCATAAAGAAGCTGAGTGGCAGCTGATGAATCAGTAAAATCTTAGCAGTACTTACACAGTTCACTTGCACAGGACTTGTAAAAACCATTTGACAGTCATTTTCATACCAAAATTAAAATATTAAACCACGGAGAGAGCAAAATCAAGGCTTATGCACATAGTTTTTTTGCATACTAGTCCTGAATCCATATGGGCAGATCCTAGCATCCAGAGCCCCAAAGGAATGGTGTGGGGAATGTGTCTATCCATACCAATGCAGTTGCTACAGCAGGAACTAATACGGTGCTCGGTGTTATTTCACACACACACACACCAGAGTTGATCCCAGCAACTCCCATTAAAGTCACATGTGACATCAGCAGAGCCCCCTGAAATTACCTTTGCTCAAAGTCCTTTCCAATAGTAGGCTATTCTTGGCAGCTGTGGATGTCTGCAGTATGCAACACTGAAGGAACTTCACAGCCCAAACTTCCAAGAGTGGTCTGACACCCCCTCAGTGCCTCTGACAGGGCTAGAACAAACTATCTTCTCTGCAGTTCAAGCTTATGAGCAAGGTTAAATACCAGAGTGCTCACAAGGAATGGTTCATATTTAAACCAGTATATAAACCTTGCAGCACATTTTAGAGACTTACAGCCTTCCTAGCCTTATCTTTTTTCCTCTGCTCTGAAACATTCTTTGGGGAGATTTGGCTCTCCCTACTCCTTATGTATCTACTCTGCTTTCTACATTTCCTTAAGGTAGCTCAAGACCCCTTGGAGATGCAGTAGTTCTCCCAAGTAAAGGGTAACGAAGTCTCCTTGATTGGGGAACATGTATCACATCCCTCTGCTTACCTGGCTAGAACTATTTCCTGAGTTTGGCCCCTATTTGTGAGAAGGTTTACAAGTGACTAGCAAATCAACAAGATCAACTTCCATTAGCAGTCCTGTTTGACTGCCCCTTGGAATGCCCAGCCCACTCAGAAGAAAGAAGGTCAGTGATACACAAAAGCTGCTACATCATAAGCTAATATGGAGCCTGGAGGTGAATATAGTTATATCATGATGGCTGAGGATATATATGAAAACTAATTACAATATCAGGAATTATGCACAGAGAGATTTCCCATATCTAAGTGTCTAAACTCAAAACCATTTTGTGTTTGCTGTGTCAGCCTGACTCTGCTCCTGGCACAAGGTAAACCACAGCTCTGCTCCCTTGCTCTCTCCCATATCAGCTGCTTAATTTGTAGGAATCAAACCACCTCCAGTTTCAACCTCAGTAATCAAATCCATTTCCTTCACACTGTGGATCAAAGGTCTGTGAAGATAAAAGCATCCCAATTTTTTGTTCCTTGCATTTTATTACACTTGGGACATTATCATTTTATTGAATTTACGTTTTTGTTACTGTAGTGATCACTGATCAGAGTGTTTTTATGTGACAGTGGAGCTTTTGCCTTGAATAGCAGTACAGCCATCCATTTACACTGGATCTCTGATTTTAGGGGCTTTAGTTATGCTTTACTGCATCACATTTGCTCTTCACTCAAAAATGCCAGTAAGAAAAGCATTTATCAGTAGAGATGAGAAACAAGCTTATTAGAATAATAATTTATAAGGGAAAATGCCTCTTTTTTTAACTGTAGAGCATTTCAAATCTACTAATGTAGCTTCAGTATCATTCCCTTGTTTTGTTAGAATATCCTATAAAGGGGAATCACATGCAACTAAAGCAGAAAATCTAAGGCATCCCACTGAAAATAAAGCACTATGGCTACACTGACAGCTGCATTCACCACACATAGAAAATATTCATTAATATAACAGGAAACAGAATTTTGATCATTTAGACAAATTACCTCTCTGGCCCTTCAGTAAGGAGATACTAAGAGTTTCAACACTAACAGATTTCTCTCCTGGACTCTCATTTGTACCTACCTCAGGCAGGATCAGTCACAGATTTTTCCCAACTCTGATTAGATTTCTCTGTGGGGAGCAGACAGAGTGGGAGAGTGAAGATCTTATTCTTTTTAATCATTATATTTCTCACAAACAACATCAAAGCTTCAGCAATTCACATCAAACAAAAGATGCTAAGAGAAGCCCAGCTCTGTTCAGGGCATTGTTAGGCAGAGACAGTAACGCTATGAATAGCAGGGCCAAAGGTCATGCACTCTGCTTCTGGGCAGATAAATACATAGTCAGGTAGTCAGTGACAATGACAGCAGCTATTTAAATTTAAGGGAGATGTCTTTGTGGAAGATAAAGAAGCTCATGGCTTTTACAACTTATGCGTGCCTGAGATTGCCCTGCTCACCTCTACCTTGGTGCTCCATTGAACTGCTCCATTTTAGTGCTATTTTTAGCACTATTCAAGATTTTCTTGGGTAGTGAGAGCTTTAAACATATAATAGTATCTACAGAATTGAATTTGCATTACTCCATCCAGGATTCTAGGGAGAACCTGAGAAGAGGAGAAACATTTATGTTTAGCCTAGCAAGTACTTTAAATGCATTGAACAGACTGTGGAGGGACAGAGTCCTTTATCACATTGTTTGACTTGCTTAGAAAGAAATGTAATCACTCTGTCTACTACTCCAAGAGCTCTGATATGCCTGTCTTCCTACAGAAGATAATGTCTGGCCTTGTAATTAAATCTATCTTTAGAGTATGATGATGTAGCTGCAAAAGCATGTATCCTGCTAGTAAACTTAGATTAAATGCACAGGGTATCATAAATGGTAGAGCCTATAC